CCCCTAGACGTCCTTTGACTCACCCACCCACGTTCCCAATATTGCATATGCATTTCCTACCACCCCCACATGTCTGGGGTGTATAGTGAACCTGAAACACCCTTCCGTTACCTCTATGGCGAGGAGATTGTCTTCTACTCACGGTTCCATACTTATACTTATCTCCCTAGAAATATAACATTGTTGTCACACAATTTCACCTGCACATTAGTGATATTACTTGTTACTATTACTAATTATTTAATTCGCTCTGTTATATCTCGCTTGATATGAACCGATGTATGTATTTCAATGGTGCAATCTGTTTATTGATACCAGCATCTAAGTTGAACATTGTTTGTACTAACTTGTGATCAATAAAATATTGACATGCTAAAAAAAACAACCCATAAAGAAAGCAATACATCATGGCAAGCAAAGACTTCTAGCAGAACTGAAGCCACAACTTTTTCTATCTTTTGGATAGAGTAAAGGGAGTTTTATTACCTCTGACAGATTTTAATTGTCATATGTGTTCCATTGGAGAGATTTTCCTATACTTCCTGTCTGATAACTACAAGAGGAAGTGAAAAGAAAGAGAGGCAAATCTCTGGTGGTCATTAGGATAACCAGAACTAGTGTCCCCATTAGAAGACTTTGCATATAGAGTATTTCTGTTTTTATGGCAACTCAAAGTGTTGGGTTTTCTTTCACTTTCTCTTTCAATGATAATAGTCACCAGGCAAAGAAACCTTTTGCTGAAAGAAACAACAATTAAAACCTGACAGGTGTTCTAATCCCTCTACACTCTAGCCAAAACCTAAAAAATAAGTTTTGACTTCAGTTGTACTTGATAAGAAATTTGTAGTAGCAGTTCGGAATTTTTACTGAAGTTTATATTAAAATTTTAAGTGGTGGTTCTACTTTTCCAGAATATACCATATTCATTTTAAAAGGAGATAGGTATTCTACAATAGTCGACTCTTATAGACCCATATCTCTTTTAAATTGGCATTATAAATTACTGGCTAAAATAATTGTGAGTAGGATTCAGAGATTTTTGCCTGCAATAGTGACTATCCACCAACTGGGCTTTGTGCAAAATAGACATTCACAATTATTTTATGTTTAGATGTATTAGGCATGGTTAAATAGTATTTTGGCCAGTAGGGCCTTTGGCCAGATGTTTGCCATGTATGTTCGCTACATCTACTCCAAGCCTGTCACAAGGCTTTTGATAAATGGTCAACTCTCTAATCCACCAAACATGCAGAAGGGCACCTGAAAGGGCATCTCACCAATTCTGTTAAACTTGGCATTGCATCCTATATTGAGATTATTGGAGTTCTTGCCGGACTTAAAGCGTATTATATTTGGAAGGACGAAGGTGAAAATTACTGCTTTTGAAGATGATTTATTACTATACAATTCTAACCTACAAAATGGCATTGCCTAAAATATTCTCCCTGATGAATATCTATGGGCATGTTTCAGGATATTCTATAAATCTGGAGAAGTCAAAAGCTTTGTATCTGGCAAGGAGTATTAGGCCCAGGTGGCCTAAAAATGTATCCTTTTCTATGGTGAGAAGAGAAGATATCTTAATTGGGGTTTATATTACTAAAAAACACTCATAAACGTTATAAAGCTAATGTCCCCGCAGTGTTGAGAGTGCTCTTGGAATTGTTGGGTAAATGGTCCCATCTTACTTTAACATACTGTATAACATTATATACTCTTGCAGTAGCCACTAGATATTTGAGAGATTGGATCCATGGTACGATACATACTGGATACATACTATATATGCATAGAGAATGTTTACCTGAGGAGGTCGTTTTAAATCCTCTAATTATAGCTGGCCCCAATGGAATAAGCTTAGAGATAGATATCAGTTAAATAGCCACTCCTCATTGTGGCTTCCTTTTTGGGGAAATTTAGATTTTCTCCACGCTTCAAGAAGTAAGCTTCTCAAGTAATGGGCAACCCAGGGATTGCAACAGTTAAGTCCCTTAAGTCAAACTATTGATAATAAGTTGTTAACCTGTGCAGCCGTCTCAGAGTGATTCCCATTCATGAAATGTGAACTACTTACCTATATGCAGATACGTTCTTTTGTAATACAAACTGGCTACTTTTGAAACCCAATCCAAACAAGGGTGCAATAGTTAGTGTTTATAGGTGTTACAGAACAAATCTGGCTTATGCAAAATGCTCCACTGGTATCTCAAAGTGGACTCATTGTTTTCCAAATATACCTACTACTGATGTTCTACAAGCTTTTAACAGAGCATGGAATACAATAACTGTGTCCACTTATAGAGACATGGTATTAAGAGTTTATCATGAAGCTAATATTTCTCCAAAAATGTTTTATCTTATGGGACTTAGTTGTTCTTCTAGAAGTCTCAAGTGCGGGCAGGAATTAGCAGATTTATATCATGCTATTTGGAGCTGCCCCTGCCGCTTGGGCGATTTGTGGAAGTCTAGATCTGCATGGAGTGAGAATCACTCCTGGATGTAGAAAGTTATTCTCTATTATATCTTTGGTGGGGAAGAAAGCAATCCTGCAACAATGGATATATTCTGAACCACCTTCTTTAACTCTCTTTCTGAGCAAGTTGATGCTAGTATTTCAAAATGATTAAATATTGATACCCAAAAGTTTTCTTGATGTATGGGAATCATTTATTGACTCTTTGCTGATTATTACAAAATGAAAATGTATGCAATCTGTGGTACACTAAGAGGATGATTTCTAAGGCACGGTTCACACCTGGGCGTTTTGTAGCGCGTTCCTATGCTCTGCAAAATGCTCAAACACCGAAATCCAATTATTTCCTATGGGTATGGTTCACACCTTTGCTACAAAATGTCCTACGCCCAAAGAAGTACAGGAGCTTATTTGGGGCATTTTTGTCGCGCGTATCCATAGGGATACAGCAAGGTAGCCCTCAAAAACGCGTGACACGAAACGCGCGACAAACGCGCATATTCGATACGCCTAGGTGTGAACCCAGGCTAATGGTCCGCTGATAGATATAGTGTAGTGATGACATTTTCTTTTTTTTTCTTTGATGTGCTAACATATTTTATTTTTTTATATTGTTTTTGTTTTACTTGGTCTTAATAATAATAAGTATTAAGAGTAAATTTCATTTTTTTATTTCAATTTTATTTTGTGTCTTGTCCCTTTTCATCCACTGCAGGTCCAAAATGGCAGCTAAGGATTGTACTTTACTGAACCAAGGAATAATAGATAGATAATATTCTTATAACTTACGGAATAAAGTAAAGCTGTGTTCCCTTAAATCATCCAATCATGTGCAAGATAACATTTTTATTTTTCTGCACATGACTGGATATTCAAAGTGAGCACATCTTTACTTTATTCACTGAATGAAGTTTAAGTTCAGTTTGCCCATAATAAATTCTCTACTCTGGAGTGCCTGGAATTCTAGAACTGGGTATGCTAAACACTAAATTAAAATAATCCACCACATAGAAAGTTTCAATGATACACAACTAGTGAATGCATAAGGATTTTTAGCTATTATCTATACATCCCATACTAAGTGCACTGTGCATAAGAAAAACTCTATAGAATTATGTTAAACAGCTCTAAATGGGTTAAATATGTCGAAAAGCCTCTCTCTAGAAATTTCCTGTTCCTGACAGGCAATCAGACAATCGATCTCTTGTTATGTTTTTAAAGTGATTTATTAATTTGCCAAAGGCAAGTGTAATTTAGAATGACCGAAATTTGTAAATAGAACAGCTAGAATTAGTAGATGCTTGTAGGACAAAATATTCTAATTATGCATGAGAATCATTTTTTTAATTCTTTTTTAGGAACCTCATCGAACCCACTGAGAAAAGGTATGGTTTCTACATGTACTATAATTCTCCACAGCTATTCAGAGTGTTTGATCCAGCCATGCTTTGAAAACTATCTGCAGGCTGATCTAATATTCTTAAACCACTTTGAAGTAGAACTTCATAAAAGAAACATGAAGAACAATAACGTGTTTTTATTATTCTGTGAATGTTTAGATGGAAAAGAAAGGTATGAGAGACTTGGAAGCTCAACCTTTGTAAAGAGAACACTTAAAAAGAAATTGTAACTTTGAGTGAATTCTAGAATTAAGCAAGAATTTTAGACTAAAATGTTTTATCCAAAACATGGCTACAAGCCATTGTTAATAGGTTGAGTTCCCTGTTTGTTTTCCAATCCACTGTATTTAATTATCAAGAATTCTCATGAATATTAATTTTGTAAATGTTTTATTATTTAATAAAACTTGTAATAGTGAATTCACTTTAAGAAATATGAGTAGCCCGTATAGTATCATAATCATTACTGTGCACTCTGTGTGTTTCAGTTTTCAGCCTCCCCATACTTATTTTGCTCAAAGGTCTTTACCATGACACTTGCATAGAACAGAGACTATTTTACTTAGGGCTTGTTTACACAGCTGCTGTTTCAGTTTAAACTACTTTTACCTATGTAAGTCAATTTGAATGGAAAACTTTACGCTACTCTGGACGGAAATAAATATTGTGACATTGCATACGCTTATCGAAACATGCTATGGGGAATGTGTGCCATAATCAAACTTAAAGGTGGCCCAGTGAAATGTAAAAGTGTTTGACTTTTTTTGGCCAGGCAGTGTATATTCAAGGTGCAAAAATCAAAACAAAAGGTGTTCAAATTTTTAAAGTTCATTTTTGTTAGAAATTAGCCACAGCCTGAGCAGAAAAGTCTGTCCACTGCCAGTATTCTGTAGATAAGGACCCACTCTCTCTTTCTCTCTCTCTCACCCTCTCTCTCTTTCTCTCTCTCTCCATCTCTCTCTCTGTTAGAAGTAAGATGTATTCAGCAGACCTAAAATGAAAGTGCAGATGTCCTTTAATGCAATTTCAATTCATAGAAATTGAAGTCTCACTGACTCACTGATGTCAATGAAAAGCGTATATAACTCAACATACATATACATAGACAGAAGCATACATATACATACCTGTAAAGTAGAAGATGTTTTCTCCATGTTGCCCCAACTTAGTACCCAGACTTGGTCATGCGACTTATCATAATGTAGTTTCACTGGGATGGGATCTGTATTCACTGCCTAGAAACAGAGTAATATTTGTGAATCCTTGTTTAAAAAATAGGTAAATATTATATCATATGAGTTATTAGTTATAAATTAGCACAGCCTGTCATGTAATGTATTCTGATATGTCCGCAAAGCAAAGGTCGAACAAGTCATCATTTGCCTTTAATATTAATGCCTTCAGTAATCTAAAGCCTTATAGTTGCTACCACACTTTGTTCATTAATGCTAGTGGTGAGTTGAATGTCTTTAAATTCCATTAGGTTGGATGTTGGTTAAACCCAGCCAGAAACCCCTAAAATCTAAAGAGATAAACTGCTAATTGTTCAAGGAAATCTGTCTAGAAATAAATACAGGGGAAGCCATTGTATAACAGCTAGGCAGTTAGCATTTTAAGTTTTCATATCCTTTCAGTGCAGGTTTCTGTAAGTGTAGTAATTCATAGCAACCAATTAGAATCTACTTTGTTGCAGTCATACCAGTACAAGATGGATTCTGATCATTTTCTATGGGTAACTGGAATCAAACACTTCAGCTCCGACACCAATTTTTGCTTTCTCTTATGGGCATCTTGCAATAAATCTTTCATTACTTAAGATAACAAAATAAAACATATATCTTTTTTGGGACACAAAAGGTTTTTTTTTTTGGCGATACTGTGTTGAATTTTTTTATACAACCCATAGAAAAAATGGCATCTGTAGCATAAGTGATTAATAATTAGCACTAACAGCTCTTCATTGAAAAAAGCCATAGACTAATTTGGAGAATCATTCAGGAGCAGGCCTTTGCCACAGTACAAAACGACCACTCTTGAATTATTAATTTAGCATGCCCTTACCTTTCAAGGAGAACTTTTTTATTCTTTTACGTGTATTCTCTTCCTGTTGGAGCAGAAGTTTTTAACTGATTGACAGACTTTAAAGCAGTCCTATCTCTTGCCTAAGCTTAGTTCTGAAAACAAACACTAAAAAAATGTCATATAATAAAGGTGCTGTATGAATTATATGAAAGAAAAGAAAAGACTTTGTTGACTGACAGCTATACCCTTCTCCAGCACCATGCAACATGTGTCAGTTTTCAGTCCTGAGCATAGGCATGTGACAGATCAGCATCCATTGGAATATTATTGCCAGACATTGAGCTTACATTTTTTGCTCTAAATAACAGCACACACAGCCATCATTGTGGAATAAGCCTCCACTATTACAGCAATTCAAAAGTGCAGATTTAGATTTCTAAAAATTGCCATATAAGACTGGTACTTTTAACAGAAATAGAATGTTTATCAAAGAATACCGTAATTTAAAATTGCTTTACTATATTTATATAAAAATGATTACAGCAGATATGCTACTTGTACAATTTAACAAAATGTTATGTGCATTACATATCTGTGCACAAAATATAAGGTCTTCAAGAAGAGCTCCAGGAATTACCTTTAAAAAAACTGTAGGATTCAAAGTGTAACTGCTTTTAAAAGTATCATTACACTTTAAGTGCAGTGTAGCAATTACACTCACCTCACTGATGTTCCTCTCAAAAATGCAGATACCTCCCAAAATACAGATCTCTGATCTCAGATCACCACAATGATGACCGCATAGACTTTAAAATAATAACATAAATTCAAATAATAACATAGAATGAAAGCAGAATGCACAAAAACCAGAATCAAAGAGCTAACTGTACCGATGAGTCCTAGGACAGTTTTTGTAGCATATAGGAAGACGTTATTCTGTCAAACCTGAAAATGAACCTATAATCAATATTTATGCAATCCACAGCAGTGTAAGTAAAATGAAACATAATGCTCAAAATCAGCATATGACATTGCTATGTCTATTTTTAAAAGATAACTATGGGGTAACATTTTTATCTCATAGTTCTCTTAAGGGTCACGGGGGGGGGGCATATTCTAACCTCCTCCCATGACCCAAAGCTCAGTATATAGCGAGCTATTGCTCACTATATACCAACACCGCTGCAGCCGGGATGGATCCCGACAATGCTGTCGAGATCCACCCAGCTGCTTGAGTGACACCGGGCTCTGCCTATCTAGAGGCAGAGCCAACTGTGCCCGCCCCCTCCCCTATCCGTTCCTTCACTCAGCGCTGGAGGATTGAAGCGGGGAGGGGGGAATCCCTGTGGGGAGCGGTGACTGACAGTCACCGTTCTCTGCAGGGAAATGATCGGAAAGTGAGCGAGCGTTGGTATGCATTTACTCACTTCCCAATGTATAGACAGTTTCATTGTCACCGGTTGGCTTGAACTATGAGGTTGAGTGAAAATCACTTACCTCATAGTTCTCCTTTAACTGCAAATAATAGAATATGTTGTAAGTATTATACAAAACATTATAAGTGGTTATTGTGGCTATAACTGAATTATGTTAATTAACAATATTTCAGAAATACATGGAGACAACATATGAGCAACTTAATACTGTTCCACTATGAATCAGCTATAAATGTACTTCAATCTGTGAACTTCAGGTTCAGTTGATCAATGTGCTAAAACAGGTTGGATTCACATGGGTGTCAAAAGAAGACAGATGACTTGGACTAATGCCAACTGCATCTCAAATGAAAGAGCTGAGCAAGGGGCAGTGTGGTGCAGTACAGCTACACAAATATTTTAAGCAAGTTTTGGACCACCTATGTTATTAGAGAGTGTGAACGGATACTAAAACACAGTAGAATCTTAGCTTCACACACCACAACACTCATTGAACAGAATAGCTGTGGGTCAATAGTACTGCTCTAGCCTACCTCCGAAAATAAACAGGTAACAGCCCAGATGTGCTTATTCAGCAGGGTCCTTGGAACTAATCTCAAAATGTTATCAAATGTGAAGATTAAGTAATTTGTAGCTATACTAATAATGTTTATTTATTCAAACCAAATTGGTATTTGTGTTCTTGTATACAAATTGTTTACTGCATTCCTTTCTCATGTCATGTTCTACGGATACTTAAAATACTGACATGATGTTTTACTACATATATAACCAATTGTTATGAGTGGATTAGATAACCCTCTAATATTTTCCATTTACTTTACAGTTCCATTCATATGTGCTTTATGTTACACTAAGTATGCCTTACATATGCTTTACTGAGGTACAGACCTTGCAAACAAAATTCTGTTCTACAGGTTATCTCTGCATAAAAGGTTATATAAAGGGAGAATTGGATGGACATTTAACTAGTATAACATTTGCAGTTTTTCCGTCACTATGTTCCTTTTTTGTTTGTCAAGGAAGGTACCAGCTGGCTAATTAAGCACAGCTAATTTAAACTAATGATATAGATCCTCAGGATAATGCACTAATGACTAGTTGAGATTGCTGATGACACATAAGAGCACTCTTGGGCTGTTTCAACAAGACTTTCTTACATCCCAACTGAACAAGCATTCTGGCTCCCCAAGAAGATAGAGCAGTTGTTTATCCTAGACATGCTTTATTGAATGTACCATGACACCTGGACAGTTCCAATCCTATCTGTCCATTTTTACATTGCTATGAGGCAGAGGAAGTTTCACTATTTTTTAATATAGTGTTTTATAATTTTAGAAGGGAAGGATACAAATGATAAAATATGTATTTATAGGTATGTTTATGTGCATATGAACTTCGCTTATACAATCTTATCATTCCAACAAAATTCTTCTACTCAACTGAATTCAATGATCTTTTTTTCACTGGAGTGGCATTGGTTCAATAACTTATGGTGTCTTCAATCACACAAGCTCAGTTGATGTAATTGTGATGTAATTGACCATGTGCATTTGTAGCCTGGTGCAATTCTGTGTTTAGGATGGCTCCCAAACATAATTGGACAACATATATACAGAATAAATTTGTAAAATAATTTGGTGGTAGGAAATAAATGTATATACTCACTGAGCCTGATTTACAAAAGAGTGAAGTCAGCCCACGGTCATTTCAAACATCTTATGCTCAGTGAATTTCAAAAATCTAAACTCCTCTAAAATGTACATAATTAGATGTTTGTGTTGAATATAGCTTCATTTACGGCCCCATTGCTAAGGATGAGTGAACCAGGTGAAGTTTGGTTCACAGAGGGTTCAGCAAACCACCCCAAAAATCCATCAACCCGAACACAACAGCAAATCCCATTAATGCCAATTGGAGCCAAATCTTGTTTTGTTTTTTCCCCTAAGAAAATACCATTCAGTGGGGAGAGTGTATTTTGAGTTAGCTTAAAAGGAAACATTGAAAGTACGAACATCTTTTAAATAACATGCATGGGTGATGCCTTACACCTGCATGAGAAGTTGTGGATGCAGTACACTGCCTCTTTCAATAGTTACATTATCTGTTTACAAACAGAAGTGGGGTTCTGTCATTTAGCGACACTATAAGTACTGCTGCTAAATGAAAGATCCCTGCAGGCTACTGTTTGTCAACAAACCAGGGGATTTGTCATTTAGCGGTTTTGTCATTACAGTCACTATATGACAGTTTCTTGTCGACATCTGTTTGTAAACAAAGGGCCTGGACCAAGAATTCCCAATGCTGTGTTTACATTACAGGAGTGCTGAGAATCTATCATTTGCAATGGAGGTAGCTTTACATCATCAGCCAGAAGTAGGTAATTGTGTCTGCATATCTGGAGGGCCCCTGTTCTAAATTGGGCTTTCCGATTCCAATAAGTCCCCCCACATCCCTTTTGGGGATTTAGGATATGGGGATAAAGCTTTTGCCCCATCAACATGAGGACAAGGTGCTTTCCAAGGGGCGGAGGCTTTCCTGTATGCCTGGATAAGTTTCATTGATGAATCTTTAGGGGACAAAGCCTCCCCCTTGGAAGGCATGTTGTCAACCATGTTGACGCCCCAATACGACAACGTGTTGTGCCCAACAATCTTCAGCTGCAAATAACAGATTCCCTGTGCAACACTGACTAAATATGGTTGTTGGGTCAACATCTTCAGACATCGCTCATCATGACTGACTTGGATTTATTTGATTGGAAAATGTAGGTGACATTGGATTTACATAGGGGGACATTTTTTTTCAAATAAATGACTTTTTCAATGGTGAAAGAGTTTTTAAAAATGTATTTATTGTTTGTAAATGAGTAACAAGAGGTGCTGGGGAGACCGGATAACTGGAGGGTCCCCTTATTCTAAGGGAGCTTCCAAAATCCAATAAGCTATTGTGGACCTTGGGTCAGAAGAGAATAGTAGCTTGTCTGTCATGCTGACCCTTCTGCATCAATGATTTGAGCCACTGACAAGACACAAATATGTAGAAAAGGACCATGTGATTATATATGGTAGTGGGTCAGCATGACAATCAGGCAATTACAAATTTGAAAAGTGATGGTAGCCTCTCTATTTGCCTAATTTCATAGATCTGCCAATAATTATTAGGTTACTTCTAACATCCACCAAGTATGTTGCTCAGCAAAAGAAATTCTCTGTGAGATCATTTGAGTTCATCGTTGTAACCTGCAATCTTTAAGAGTTTTCTCCATTTCCTTCACATTCTATCACTATGGTGATAATCAAAAGGCACCCAATAAATCTCAGAACATTTATAGGCAATTCTAAATGTTAGTCAACAAGAACTCAGTATTTATGGGGTTATAAAATGTATGGAAATTAAATGTTCCAGAATGTAGACAAACATATTGTTAAGAGCAGTTTAATTAATCCGTCTTTCAATATAATATAAATTCAAAATCATGCCTTTAAAACATCCAAAAAGTTCCTATTCACTTCAAAATTCTGAATGTGAAAATATGGGCATGTGTTCAGTTTATGATTATGAAATAGCTGACTGAATTCTAATAAATAAAGCCAAAATAATGGAATCATTGCATTTATATAGTGAACAATTTTGAGGGCTGCTACAAAACACACATGTGATTAATCTTCTCTATCAAATCTCTTACAGCATGTAATAAACCACAGGCATTAATAAGATGTGCAATTTCTTAAGAATTGAGTGGCACAGATGCAGTTTGTGTGAGCTTATTTATATCTACAGATTTAGAACTTCAAGCTTAAACCAGTTCTTAATGAGAAGGTATAATTATGAGTCTAGATCTTCTTCTTAAATACTACAAAATCCTAAATACGCTAGTGATAGCCAGTAATGTTTAACATAAGTCAAATAAAATATCTGTTGGATGACATTTGCTATAAAAAAATATATAGTAACCTTCCCGGTCAAATCTATGTTGTAAAAAAAATCTTAGTGACATACTTTTAAAATTTTAGGGTTCATTTTTTTAACCCCCCTTTCAGCATTCTAAATTACTGCTATCCTGTGTCTCCGGATAGCTATATGATGGAAGTAAACTTTAAACTTTTAGCCAGATGGTACCTGGTCCCACCTTCCACTCATGCCATTTGGCCCGCGGCCTCCCCCTTATGTTGGCGCTCATGTGGCACAACTGGCACCTTTGCTCACTTGTGGTGGGAATGTCCGTTGGCACGGGAGTACTGGGGGGAGATCACATGCCTTATAACTGTATTGGGATACAGGTAATGTGTGTTTCACTGTGTTACAACAATGCATTGGTATTAAAGGGCCCTTGTAGTCAGTACAACAAAGTATTATTGTGCAATATAAAGCCAGCAAATATTCAAAAATATTCAGCATTGGACTTGATTTACTAAAATAAAAAAAAAACAGCAGGGATACACTTATGCTTAGTTCGCAAGCTCGCATGCACACACAATATTTATGTGCAGAGCAACCATAACTAATTTATTTATCTAACTGATTGTACACTGATGTTCAATGCATACAATGTGGTCCTAGCTTGCAGTGCGCATAAAGTATCCACATATTGTTCCCATTGTGCCTTCGGTTCCTATAGAGTGCACCACAAACTGCACATTGCACCATTTTTCTGAAAGCATGTACCATGCTAATCCAGAGGTAGCCAAACTTAAGCCCTCAAGCTGTTGTGAAACTACAAATCACTTCATGTATCTGCCTCTGGGAGTCATGTCTGTGTCTGTCAGAACCTTGCTATGTCTTATAAGTTCCACAACAGCTGGAGGGCCAACGTTTTGCTACCCCTGCCCTAAGCAATATACTGCACATGTGCCAAGTTAAAAGGCTTGTCAATATACCATGCACACTATGATAAAGTGGAAAAAATTCAGCACATGTATGGGTATTTACCACTGGATCTCATCTCTTCCATGCTCCAGTGAATCTCATACGCTGGTTAGCACTCGAGCATCTGTGCATGCTCACAAACCCTTGCACATGTGCAATACAATACCCATGTGTTTATGTTCACTGAAGCTTTATACATATCAATGATTACCATATATGCACTTGATATAGTTTTATTTCTAGAAGGTATATATAATTCAATTCGCTAACATTGCTTCAATAGACCCACATATATCTATTTAGGGAGATTAACCCTTGCTTTCTTACAAGACAAAAAGTGAGGGAAAATCTCTCCAATGAGACACAGGCAAAGCAACCTTTTTTCCTGGATGTCACAGGGGTAGAAATTAAGGCAAATTTCACCAATGGACTCACTACACACACAGCTGTTCTCTGAACACAGCAGACATACACATACACATACTATATACAGGGAGGTTTTATGTATCAGAGTGGCCTGATGAACTATAGATTTGCTGGTGTGAAATACAGAAGTACCAATGGGTAGGTGGTGTTCCCTATATACATTTTAAAATATTGTTTTATTGTTGATGGAAACGTTTAAGAGACTAATGAAAATATTTAAAAGTAAAATTAATAAATGTCAGTACAGCCTAAAATTGGCAACACAAATTACCTGCACAACTTTTTGCGCCTGTATATCCACAAGAAGAACCCTGTTTAGTTTAGGCTGAGCCACATATATAAATTTATCTTTTACATTAACAGCTGATGCCCATACGCAGCTTTCCATTTCAAGTCCCTCTATCTTTGGACACACTTCATCCTGTAAAAGAAAACATACAACTGTTCAAAAAAAACTGTAAATACATAAACTAAAATGATTTATGACTGTTTTGTTCACAAACAAGCAGATAAAAAATAATAAGTAAGATTCCTAAACATGGTTATCAAAGTATATCTAAGTGTATATTTTTTTTAGTTAAGGATAGAGCAGGAAAGGGTAAAACACCAATGTCCAATTTTGGGGAATTTTCTTTAATTCCTGTCCTGTAGATACAATATAAAACTCCCCAAAGTAAGGGAAATCCTGCCTTGGGCAATTGTTTCCAGAACAAGTGTTCCTATTTAAATATTTTCCTTTATTGCTGTTATGATAACTCAAAAATGTGTTTGTATTTGTCCTCACTTTCAAACCTGGTGACAATGGTCATCAGGGCAAATAGAGAGGGTGACTCGTCCCAGCAGGGACAGCAATAATGTTTGACAGCATTGATAACTCTTATCTCCTCTATCCAATACCTAAACTAAAAATATTTAGGTGAAGCAAAATAGGTATTGTAATTTTTTGGTATTGTCATTGCCTAGTGTACACCTAAAGGACTACAGTATGTGATCTTTCCATACTCAAAGAAAATATGCTCTTCTAAGTATAAGTCATGAAAATCATATCTGATGTGTGGGCATCCATAATGTGCATGTATGTCGCACATGTTAGCATTCATATTGTGCACAGTAGTGTTCCATTTGTTTATGGAAAAGAGAAAATTCAAAACACAGTTCCAAGAGATTTCAAGACATGACAAAAATCTCCTAAAACACCCCTGCACTTTGAGATGGCCATGCCATGCTCAATATTTTGGAACAAATCAATAGTGAAAATAGGACCATGTGGAAAAAAAATGTGTCCAACAGAAATAGATTTATGATTACACACTTGATATGCAATATGTATAATACAGTATAATATTTATTTATTATAGTACCAGATCGTCCATCACACTTGTTACTTTCAGTCCGGCTTTCGCCCCATACACTCCACTGAAACCGCCCTCCTAAAACTCATTAATTACCTAATAACAGCTAAAAACAATGGCCACTATTCCTTACTCTTGCTATTAGACCTCTCTGCTGCTTTTGACACTGCTGACCACCCGCTGCTCCTCAAAAAACTCCACTCGCTTGGCCTACAAGACTCTGCTCTCTCATGGTTCTCCTCCTACCTAGCTATGCGCTCCTTTAGTGTCACCTACAATTCTAACTCCTACCCTCCTCTTCCTCTTTCTGTAGGGGTCCCCCAAGGCTCTGTCCTTGGACCCCTTCTCTCCTCTATCTACACCTCCTCTCTTGGTCAGTTAATAACCTCACATGGCTTCCAATACCATCTCTATGCCAATGACACTCAAATTTATCTTTCCACTCCACAACTCACCCCCTCAGTGTCCTTGCGTGTCACTAATCTACTAACTGACATATCCATCTGGATGTCGCAACACTTCTTAAAACTCAACCTTTCAAAAACTGAACTCATGATATTTCCTCCACCCCGTGCACCTTCCCCCAACATTTCAGTTGAGATTGATAACACAACTAGCCAGCCCTCCCCTCATGCCAAGGTCCTAGGTGTCATCCTTGACTCGGACCTCACCTTTCTTCCCCACATCCAATCACTATACAAATCCTGGCGCCTTCATCTGTGTAACATCTCCAAAATACGTAACTTCCTGACCAATGAAACTGCCAAACTACTCATCCACTCCCTTGTTATATCTCGTCTTGACTATTGTAACTCCCTCCTCATTGGCTTTCCACTACACAGGCTATCCCCAATTCAGTTTATCATGAATACAGCTGCCAGACTCATTCACCTAACCAACCGCTCAGTGTCTGCATCCCCCCTCTGCCAATCCCTACACTGGCTTCCACTCACCCAGAGGATAAAATTCAAAATATTAACAGTCACTTATAAAGCCATCCACAACTCTGTCCCCGGATATATCTCAGACCTTGTCTCAAAATATCACCCTAACCGTCCACTCCGCTCTTCCCAAGACCTCCTGCTTTCCAGCTCCCTAGTCAACTCCTCCCATACTCGCCTCCAGGACTTCTCTAGAGTGTCTCCCATCCTCTTGAACTATTTACCACAACCTGTCCGTCTATCTCCCACCTTGACTGCCTTTAGGCATTCCCTAAAGACTCATCTCTTCAGGGAAGCCTATCCCACCTCAACCTAACCACTAAACCATCACATTCTAAAATAATTCATCCCCACACAGCTACCTCCTCATGTATCATTTCCCCCTCCTCTTTTAGATTGTAAGCCCTCAGGGGCAGGGCCCTCCTTACCATCTTGTCTTGAGTTGTATTGTGATTGTAATGTCTTGCTTATATTGTAAAGCGCTGCACAAACTGTTGGCGCTATATACATACTATGTAATAATAATAAAATGTTTTCCTTATCTGAATTATAAAGAACAGCTTAAATAAAATTGTGTCATTACACAATTTACAAACTATTACACAATATGTATAGTACATTACAATGGACGTAAAGGTTTGCAAGACTGACTTGCTTTGATTTAAAGTGTATTTCCACTTTTGCAACCATATTGGGACAACACCTATTTTATATTGTTACATGTCCTCGATTTCATAGGAAAACTTAATTTAAAAAAAATTGGTTATCAAATTGTTTGTATATCAGAGCAAGGGATGATCAGATCTGTTTGTATGAATATTTGCATTTCATCAGCAACACTGTTTGCCAGGTGAACCAAGCCACTGGTACTGGTAAAGGGTTCATTTCAACCCCTGACCTACTGGATTGTGGTTGCCATTTTAAGGAAGGAAAGTGGACTCCCCTCCCTTCAAAAAAAGAGATGTGATGAGAATCTAGGTTTTATTTACTAGTTGAGCAGTAGACAAAGACCATTATAGGGTGTAATTCTCTGCTCCCTGTTGCATCATTACCAATCTATAATCCTCTGCATCATTTGCTAGTAAATTACAGCAGGATTACATCTTTACTTGTTCACAAAAAGACAAATTTAAATATCCAGCTGGTGTAGTAAATATTAGTTTAGTTGTTATACACTCCTCACTGCATGGGACAAAGGGTATATGTACAACATATATTATAAATATATATA